CATACATGCTAGAGTTTGTGGTTGGGGAGAATCTGATTTGGAATAGTATACTGATGATGAAGGTAATAACCATTTGATTTATGGTACTTTATTGAAAAATAATTCGCTAGGCGCCAAGGAATGAAATGCCCATTCAACAGTTGGAGGTTGCAAAAGACTCGTTAATGGTATTTCGTAATGGATTATAAATATACCTTCACCGTGTATTATTCTATTTGAATGAAATACACAAACATTTCCTACATTTTGTTTTGGAATAAAATGTATGAAAAATAACTATTATACCAATTATATCCAGTTTTAACATTTGTTATAACGAGAACAAAACAATATTCTTACGTTTTCCCAAAAATATTGAAACGAGTCACTAATATAGTGGCATTTTTTCATTCCATCTATTGGTAGTTTCCACTAGTTTCAAAGATAATAATTGTTGAAATAACCTGAGGAATATTTTGAAAATCCAGATATCCATAAATTATGTGTTAGATGATATAGTGTGAAAAGTTAATTACTTAAGGGGAAAGTGATAGAACTGCCTGCTCACATCTAGAATATACAGAGGATTCCAGAAAGGAGATAACCAGATGGAAAAGCTTTTATGATCTAGATACAAAAACTCTTTATAAATATGTGTAGATCGTGCATATAAGTTACTTTCAGTTGAAAACTGTAAAGAATTTATATCGAACCGAAATGCTTTCTTCTTTCCACCGCCTTCAAAGAACTGCCTGCTCACATCTAGAATATACAGAGGATTCCAGAAAGGAGATAACCAGATGGAAAAACTTTTATGATCTAGATACAAGAACTCTTTATAAATATGTGTAGATCGTGCATATAACTTACTTTCAGTTAAAAACTGTAAAGAATTAACTTTATCGAGCTGGGACAATACTGTTTTCGAGCATCTGCCAAAAAATATGCTGCCGCTGTCAAGATGTGGGCGAACTAGAGCTTTATATAATGGGATCAAAGTAGAAGGAGCCGCACCCACCACGTCCGACATAGAGACCTCATAAGATTCATTCCCATTTGTGCTTTTGCACAAATCATATTTATATGTGGCCGCCATGATAGCTGATGATGGAAAATTATGCCCATGTATTTTACCTTCTTCGACCATGGAATGGGGTTGTTGTTGATATGTATATGGTCGCCGATATCGAACATATGTTTATTGATGAAAGAAATTGCTTCGCACGTATTAATGGAAAAATATAGCCCAAGTTCTTCCAGAAAGTTATGAATTTGATTGAGATCATCTATAGGTTTTCGAGTGTCTGTGCCGACATTTATCAGTGCTAGATCATCAGCATACCCAAATATAGATACCTGGTCTTCTACTAAATGTTTTAAGGGGTCGCTTTGAATATTGAAAAGAATAAGACTGATTGGCGAACTTTGTAGGAGACCTCGGTTAACAGATTCAGGCCTTATAATGCACCCTGTGATTGGGTCTTGGATGCAAATTTGCCCGTTGGTAAAGATATGCCCGATCAATGTTGCGAGATCATGTGGAATTGTACACTGAGCAAATCGTTCCAACAGTTTAGGAATAAAAACATGATCATAAGCTGCCTTGATGTCTAGCAGGACCATTACCACATTGTTACCTGATGCTTAATTTGATGCAATAATAGAATGAATTCCAAAGAAATTCTTAGTGGTGCCTCTACCTCGACGAAAACCTGACTGTAGCGGATTAAGCAAATTGAAATGTTCCACATGCCAATCCAATCTGTTTTTAATCATGAGATATATCTGTCGATATATCCTTGCCTGGTTTTGGAATAAGGCAGAGTAATTGCCGTTTCCACTCCATTGGGATGGTGATAGAACCATACAGGTTAAAAACATTCAGAAAAGTCACAAATCCAGTCTGCGGTGAATGCTGCAACATACTGTAAGTTATGAGATCCAGGCCCAGTGCGGTGTCCCATTTGTACCGGGGCACAGCATGCAATTCATCCATGTTGAATGGTATACTGGGTTGGATATGAGGGTTTTCCACGGAAGTAATGCTGTCAAGGAGTGTCTGAGTTAAAGATTGGATCATAATTTCAGCAATGCCGTTTTCTAGTAGAAATGCTGGAATTGGCAAATGCTCGAACTAAAGACCATACCCTAGAGATGGGAGTATCAGATAAGAGTTGTGCACAAAACATTTGAAAGTTTTGTTTCTTTTTCTCTCGTAATAACTTCCTGGTATATGCTCTTATCTTACATACATTGATATAATTTTGCATATGAGAATGGTCTTTGTATTCTCGAGTTTTGTTCCTAGAGCCGAATATTTTTTGGGTATTGCTGAATCAGCAGCGTTTAAAACTATGTCGGCACCTTTGATGTTAAGGGGTCAAATTTTAGTAACCTTGAAATCATATGTGGAGTAAAATCATGCTTCGCACACTGAGAAAAATTACTATGTTCATCATTCAAGAATAAAACTTGCTACACACACCATCCGGCCCACTAAGGCACTACTCACACGGGGATACTGAAATCTGCGATACTCAGAGATTTGGATACTGAGAGACCTGGATACTTCGATACTGGGAGACTCAAGTTGCCTGTCATCCTCACACATTCGCGACTCGGGTTGCTAGTATTTAGTTCCCTTCAAGCTGCCGAAGAGGTGTATTGTTGTCGTGATATTGTTCTTGCTTTATAATATGACTAGTGATTCAAGTAGTGATGAGGACATCATCATCCATTATTACAACCGATACAGGAAAAGGAAAGTGAGAAAGATGTGGTTACACCCCTACATAGAGAAGAACATGAATTGCCGATTATTCGTTGCTGCAAAAGAATTACAGGAATCAGATTCGAAGTTCCTCGCATTGTACAGAATGAGAAAGAAGACTTACCAAAAACTGATGCAGCTTATTGCTCCAGCTATTCATTATACCAACACAAACATGCGAGAATGTGTGAGCCCTGAGGAACGAGTTCTTATTACATTGAGGTAAGTGAAAGTGACAAAGTACGAGGAATGTTATTTATTCAATAGCTACATCGTATTATAGTTATTATTTAACAATGTAAATTTTTTATTATTTTCTCTTGCAATTTTTGGGAAATATAAACATATCAATTTGAAGGGTCTAATACCTCGCGGACTACGTCATAGTATTGTTGGGAAGTAGCCAGTCCTATCTCCTCCATCGTTGCTGTTTGTATCGTTTGCGAAGTGTGCATGGGTACCGAGGAACATGGAGAGGAAGAATATGAATAGGGTGAAGAAAAACCCATTAGAGACTGGTCCTGTGTTGACCTCAGCTCATCAATGAGGTGTATGACTCGATTTCGGGAAGTAAGCTATCAAGAAATAGTTTTTTTGCATCAGAATGTCTTGCGTGATTGTCAAGTTTTCGCCTTTAGGCGTCCATATAATCTTTGAATGACTTGTCAACATCTGTGAGCGTCTGTTGTTTACGTTTATTTTTAAACGCCGGAGTGCTCACAGAGTCAGTCGTTGAAGGTGTACAATGAGGTTTAATTACTGGAGGAGAAGCACACCGACTGTAGGAAAGAGGGGGTGGGGGTGGAGGTGGTGAGTGTGAATCTTCTTCCTCTTCAGGCAAATGGTGTTGCTGAGATGGGTGTTCAGACAACTGTTGAGACACGTCAGATCTAGATGGTGGTACAGTGGGTACTTCAGGCAAATTTCCATCAGGCTTCCCCACTGTTGGTATATAGGGAAGTGTAAACTGCATCGCTTCTGACAAATAGTACGGTTTTGTCGTGTTTCCTGAACCTGACGGTGGTGGCTTCAAGCGGCGTACAAAAACTGATCGCAAGTTTTTCCACTTCTCCTTGCACTCTACAACTGAACAAAAATTTAAAAAATGAGGACTGCCGAAAAATATTAGAACATAAATAACCAATAAGAATAACATGCTAAAAGTATTATTTTATCTTATGTAACTACAGATACATGAACATTATTATCGATCTCTTGCAGGTATCTGGCTACAGGGTGTACTTTTACATCGCTGGCATTGTACTTTGCGCGAGGACAGAGCACCGTTATATACATCGTACGTGAAACTACCCAACTCATTTGGCAAGTATTGAGTCACATCTGCATGCCAATTCCAAACGAAGAGCAATGGAAAACAATTGCTCAACGTTTCTACACACTGTGGAATTTACCTAATTGCTTGGGAGCAGTGGATGGGAAGCACATCCGCATCAAAAAATTACCTGGGGCAGGTTCTACCAATTTCAACTATAAACAGTATCATTCCATTGTACTACTGGCATGTAGTGATGCCGATGGTTTTTTAACCACCATTGAAACTGGTTATGCAGGCAGAAATAGCGATGGAGGAATATTTCGTGCATCAGTTACTAAACAGTGGATTACAAGTGGCCTATCACAATTGCCATCATCTTCAAGACTACCTGATGATGAAAATGACTGTGACTTCCCGTACTATTTTGTTGGTGATGAAGCATTTCCATTAGCAAGGTACCTGATGCGGCCCTACCCTCAAAGAACTCTTGATAACACAAAAATAATTTTTAACTACAGACTGAGTAGAGGAAGGAAATGTGTGGAATGCGTTTTTGGAATGATGACAAAAAAGTTTCAAGTCTTGAGCAGTTCTACTCGTTCCCGAACCACGCAGAGAGTCGTTGACATAATTAAATCAGTTTGCATTCTGCATAATTTAATTCGTAGATGTGAAGGTATTCAATATCATAGTGATGAACCACAACAAAACTTCACCACTTCTACTACTCTTGTCCCTTCAAGGAGAGACATTATACTGCATTCTCGGTCCACTGCTTATGATGTGAGGAACTATTTAGCAAACTATTTTCTAACGCCACGTGCTTCCCTCCCATGGCAATGAAAATTTTTAATTTTTTGAATGTGCATCATTTTACTCTTCATCTCATTTCATGAGAGGAATTTCATTGTATTCTCTAAAGTACCTAAAATAATATAGCTATTGTTCTATGGGTTCATAAAATACATGTATTCATTTTAACAAAAAGGTGGAACTTACTTGATAGATTAACATTCTTGGCTACTTCATTCCACGCCTTTTCCGTAACATCTTTTCTGGAATATTCTTTCGGTCTATAATTATAAAGCACAGGAAACTTCTCCACTTCGCCGACAAACTTTACGTTGAACACTTGCTCGTTCATCACGATCACGTAACTGAGGGACTAGGAGACTGGCAAGCCGAGTCGCCGTGTCTCTGCGTCGCGACGTTGCCAAGTCTTCGTTACTGGAATTTCCCCATCTGAGCAGCAACGTATAAAAACACTTGCTGGGTCTCCGAGTCGCTGCGTATCTTAGTCGTTTCGTGACTTGAACATCCCCGTGTGAGTAGTGCCTAAGCGTTTACAACGACCAAAATGCTCCTATAGCCGTTTCACATAACGACCGCAGTCGTTGTGGTCGCCTCGAAAACGTCACTCACCGACGCCATTACAAATGTTATCTCTCATTCGTAATTCATTTCCAATTTCTCAACTTATTCCATAATTCAATTTCATAAGTACCCAATGGAATAATTACTTACACATAATGAAGCAATTATTAAAACTTATTGTTGAGGCTTACGTTACATCGCATTACTCTTCTATATTCACGAAAACTAATTTCAGAACAAAAAACAGCAAATGAAAAAATTATAGTTTGTTGATGTTTTGTTTTGTCAATTTCGTTATCGAATTTACATTTTATTAATTATTGATCATACAACGTGTCAAAAAATTATAACTAGCTTTTAGTTGCAAATATTTCAGGTAATGTTGAAAGCTGTAATTTTGATAGGAGGCCCCCAAAAAGGTACTTCAAAGAAATTTGTTGACCATAATAAACAAATATATAATTTTAAGGGACAAGATTCAGACCTTTATCCCTTGATATTCCTAAGCCTCTCTTTCCGGTGGCTGGCTTACCACTTATTCAGCACCATATAAAATCTTGTGTATCAACCCAATGTGTAAAAGAAATTCTGCTGATTGGGTTCTATCCTGTTGTCCAGATTCAACCTTTCGTTAATGACATGCAGCACCAGTACAACATAATGATCAAGTAAGGCTTTATGAATAATTCACTGAATGTTGACCACCTTTACGTTAGCATATAACAGTGATTCTTATAACAATCATGGTTCTTACATTCACTATCTAGAAAGTATTTACAGCGATCGAGCAATACTACATCCTTCCTTTATAAAATCTGTCCCCAACTCTATAATCGCCAACTTAACACATTTGATAAACTTGATGGGAGGAATACACTCACTTTCTGGAACTGTATTATTTTGAGGTTTATATTAGAGGCACATTATATTTTCTATAGAAACAGATGTTTGCCTAGGAGTCCTCATTTCACTTTTTTTATAAATGAAACCAAAAATGTATTATATCCATTAATACTTGTTTCGAAACATGTACATGTGTAGCTTTAGCATTTTTCCATACGTAGTAATTTCTGGTAGATGTTCTCGAAAAAAAGAAAAAGATGTTTGTTTATTAAGTCGTCATGCTTTTTTGTTGAATTAACCCTAAGCCATTAAAAAAAATATTTTCCGGCACTCTGGGGATATACCATATCACTAAGCTGTTTCAGTAGGTGTATACCCAAGTTAACAAATTTGTGTTTATTGATAACTGTTTTCGATATACATTTGCTTTCATTGAGAAATTACTTAATTCCCTGTATCAGCAGATGATTATATATCTAAACTGGTAATCATATGCTGATATAAGAAACTTTTATTTGTAATACAAATAGTTTTGAGTGTAAAACCATGTTAAAAATTTTGCTCATATCAAAATCTTCAATGAATGTCAAGATTGATTCAATAAAAATTTGAACACATTTAGATATCTTCAGGAGTTCACAGCTCTGGGAACTGCAGGTGGTCTTTTTCATTTTCGAGACCAAATCCGGTTTGGAAATCCAGATGCCTTTTTCGTTATGAATGCTGATGTCTGTGCAGATTTTCCCCTGAATGAGCTGTACAAGTTTCATAAAGAGCAATCCATCAAAAATAACAATAAAGCACTGGTGAGTTTTAACCTGTTGAAACATTTATGAATATATTTTTACTATTTTCCATTTAATATAGGTAACGATAATGGGTACAGAAGCCACAAGGCAGCAGTCATTACATTATGGTTGTATAGTGACAAATAAAGAAACTCATGAGGTTACACATTATGTGGAAAAGCCAAGTTCTTATGTGTCTACACTGATAAACTGTGGAATCTATGTATTCTCTCTAGATATATTCCAAACCATTGGAGAAGCTTTCACTTTGAAGCAAGATGAATTTTACAGGTATCAATAGGGGTTACGTTGGTCAATGCATTTAAAGTGTAGGGAGTATCCTCAGAACTATTGAAAAGATGATAACAATTCATTTTTCTAATGAATATTCATGTTCACTAAGGGAACTACACCATATTTGTTAAGACTACACTTTCCAGTCATTAAATTTATGAATTTTGCTTTTCCTGTTCCCCAAAAAATATATGTTGATAATTCACCACCTCAGCCCTTTTGCTTACTTTTAACAGAGTCCATAGTAAAAATGGTATTTTTGGATATTCACAAAAGATAATGTAAAAGGATTATGTAAATAAAATTCTTCAATGGAAACTTGACAAATTCAATTGATTCTATTTATCAAGAAACTTTATTGATCAAGAAATCGTTATGAAATTAGAAACAGTACTATGCTGATTTATGAGTAAAAAAGTGATATGAAGCAAATGAACCATTTTTTAATAATTCAAAGAATTTCTTTTCAATTTACAGGTTTACTTTGCATGACATTTTGTTAGATAATTCTGTAATCATTTTCTAGTAAACAACTACATTTTTGTGCTTGTATGTAGTATGTAAATGATTGTTTCCAATTTGTTCCACATCATGTACTTATGCAAGAAGATGTCATCGGGATATTTTACGTCAAGAATTGTTTTTAAGAAATTGAGTTTATTCGCAACAACAGCCCTCTACTACAAAAAACCAGTAGTGTTTATATTTTGCATCTAATGTTTTAGGATAGGTTAATTAACTTGTGATTATTATATATAAGTATATATTGAATACTTGGAACTCGTAACTTAACGAAGTCAGCAAGAATTTATTATCTACTTGTAAGATCCATTATGAAAGCTATCAGAAACGGAAATGTAAGATGAGGTATTGAAAGGTGTTACTATTAATGAATGGAAGCAAGAACAAATTTATCTGTTGATTAATTCAAATTATTTGTTGAGTATTACGAAGTAAACCTACTTTAAAACTACATTATCACAAATGACTGCAAAATTATTCGAAAACTCTGACAAATTCTGTTTCATGAGTAAATTTAATTCTGGACAATATTTTTAAGATTTACTTCATAGATACGAAATTAAATTTTCGTTACTTTATCACTTGTTAATATTTATGTATTATTCAATATTCCGTAAGAATTATCGGTGAATTATGACATTCGTGAAAATCAAAATACAGTCAAACAAGTTAACAGAAGCAAAACTTTCAGTACATTTTGAACTTCACTGTTTGAGAACCCTCCATTCATTCAAATCCAACGTGAATCGCTACTTTCGCACAGTCACCGCTCTCAGAGAGCCTTGAGGATTTTCCTACAGTGCTTCTGTTTTGTCTCTGAAAAAAAAAGACATGATGACAACGATGACATGATGAAAATTATTCGAATTTTGATGTACATACATGCTAGAGTTTGTGGTTGGGGAGAATCTGATTTGGAATAGTATACTGATGATGAAGGTAATAACCATTTGATTTATGGTACTTTATTGAAGAGGCGGGTTATATACAGCTTGAACAAGAAATATTGGCTCCATTGGCGGGATCAGGCAAGATTTTTGCCCTTCAGGTTAATACCTGGTGGTCTCAACTGAAAACTGCTGGATCTGCAATTTATGCCAATCGCCATTACTTGGAACTTTATAGAAAAAAACATCCAGAACTACTGTGCACACCAGGAGCTGCAGGGGAAAGCTGTACCATTTATCCAGATGTCCATATCGATTCAACGGCTACAATTCATCCAACAGCTGTTGTGAGTATAGAACAAAACTAAGTTGTACTAGCGACCCGTCTTTACACGTATAGCATCGTCATATTTTAACCAATTTACACAAAACACATAAATTGCCCTCTTGAGTCACTCTGTCCATTGGTGAAAACAGTATGAAAATCTGTTTGGTAGTTTTGGAGGCTACCACGTTCAAACAGACAGACAGGGCGCGGCACTATAATATATAGTGATGGTTCAGGTTATATACTCTAAACCACATATTTATATAATTCCAAGGAATCATTTCTTATTCACATTTCTCGAAAAAAGTTCATATGTAAACATACTTATGCCCTATTCGCTATGTTTTTCAAGAAATAGAGTGCCAAAGTTTTACAACAAAATAGTTTTTCTTTAATTATACAAAATATTTTTACCAATTGAGATCGAATTTAGTGTGTTTAATTCAAGTTACAAGTGGATGTTTTTGATGTTATTAAATATTAATACCCGAAAGTCAGTCTGAAGTGAAACCTCGTCTAGTACATATCGAATCAGTGCGCAATGTAACAGTGAATTAGTTCAGTTCCGGTCACCTAAAATTTAAATTCGGTCTTGTCTTAGAATAAATGAAATGTGTGAAGGAAAGAAATTGTGCAATTTCGCTTTTAAATCATAACCGGAGTTATGTCTAGAAATAATACGGGACGCAGCACGCCCATTACAATCGGAATTTCTAGTCTACAACCTGTGGATTTTCTTATGAACTTATAACACATTATTATCGCTGATCTGAGTTTCTCTTGGCAAGTTATCAACTTTAAATAAAATGGGCTTACATTCATTTCCTAATATATTAGAAGTATATTTTGAACTTGGAATTGTTTGAAATGGAAAAATTCAATGGAAAATAAACTAGAAAAATGTAAATATTACATATTGGTGTGACACCCAAGTCAACTTGACAAGTTTTTGTTAGTGTTGGTGGTTTGACCAATCAACCCAAATTTCTGCTACGGCAGTTGTCGGTGGCTCTTGAATTGAAATCAATATGGGAATGATCAAAAAAGTATTAATCTATTTATCTTTTAATTTTCATGGAATTATTTTCCAGCAGCTTGACTGCATTAACCTTTCTCGATTTCATATCATTTCTAGAAACATGTGGATTCGTTTTTCGATGGCATTTCAGGTTAGCTTTCCGAATTTCTGCTACCGCAGTTGTCGGTTGATTGGTCAAACCACCAACACTGACATAGATATAAAAACGTCACTCTCCGTCCCGAGTAGTAGTCTGTACCAAGAAAGCGAATCGAGCGGTTAACAAACGGTGAAGATAAATTAAGCGTTAGTTACTGAGTGGTGTAAATAAATTAGTTGTGATAGTGAAGTATTGTTAAAATAAATTTGTTTAAGACAGTTAATTCTTTAATTCGTTACACCTTGATAACTCGCAGAGTCCTGTTCCACCGCCAAACGTGAGTGAGGTAGTCTCAATTCGTTACCTCTTCGTGTGTTGTAGTTATGGCACATATTATTTTTTGTGTAGTGAGATTAATTTTTTTGAATATTTACAGCTACTACATATATGTACAGGCAGGAAAGAGTAAGTATGGACATCTGAGTGAAGCATTTGTATATTGTGAGAATTGTTAGGGCAGACAAAGAATATATGTAGGAGAGTCTATATTTTCCCACATTCGCAGCGGTCGTCATCAACTATCTTAAGTTTATGGAGATGCGCTTTATTGAGAGAATGATTGCTCCTAATTCTGCACATATTGATGATTTCTCTACGACAACAAGTAGCCAGATCCTTGTGTAAGCCAGAGTTTTGTAAGGTTGTGCTACAGAGAAAAAGTAAAGTTTTGCTTTGAATTGTGCGTCCCCGCTATATTGATTGGTCCAGTCTATCCAGATATTATGGTTCAATAATGCTTGAAACTCTATAGTCTGCTTGAGGATGATTAGAGAGTGGATGGTTTCTTCAAATATTGGCTAAGGTGTCGGCTGTATCGTTACCCTTGATGTTAGAATGACTGGGGACCCATGCTAAATGTATGCTGTTTCCCTTTATGATGGCTCGATATATCAGTTGTCTGGTACGTAATGAAAGGTAATCGCTGTTTGCAAATATGGTTGACCGGGAAATTTTTGCTAGGGAGCTTTTTGAGTCACTAAAGACGACTGCGTGTTTGATATCGTTGTCAACAACATATTGAACTGCTTCTCGGATGCTGTTATTTCAGGTGCACATATTGAAAAGAAAGAGGTAATCGTCCAGAATGATGTAGGTTGTGTGAACAAACTCCAATGTCAACGTTACCGCGTACATTTTTGTATCCATTGGTGAAAAAATATGTATGATTGGCAAATTGTTGTTCGGCAAGTCTGAGAAAATCTTGGTGGTTGTCGTTCTCTTTGAAGAGATTCATTTCGTGGTGGGAAATTGGGAAGATTTGACCATGTAAACTATAGCGGTAACAAGGAAAGTTTGGAAGTAGCATAATATTCAGGATGTAGGGCATTAGTCTGATATATGCAGTAAAAATGGCGTAGGATATTGAATATATGTATCACGCAACTCCATTACGGAATGAATATAAGGATTCACGTAAGATATCAATTTAGAAATGCATCTCACTCCCAACCAATTTCCCCTGTGAGCAAGAGGCATCTCTGAGCTTTTTTATAGTAGTATTGTGGTGAGTGTTGATCTCATAAAATCCAAAGCTACGCGTAATGGTTGATATTGTACTTCATCGAGCTGGGACAATACTGTTTTCGAGCATCTGCCAAAAAATATGCTGCCGCTGTCAAGATGTGGGCGAACTATAGCTTTATATAATGGGATCAAAGTAGAAGGAGCCGCACCCACCACGTCCGACATAGAGACCTCATAAGATTCATTCCCTTTTGTGCTTTTGCACAAATCATATTTATATGTGGCCGCCATGATAGCTGATGATGGAAAATTATGCCCAGGTATTTTACCTTCTGCGACCATGGAATGGGGTTGTTGTTAATAAGTATATGGTCGCCGATATCGAACATATGTTTATTGATGAAAGAAATTGCTTCGCACGTATTGATGGAAAAATATAGCCCAAGTTCTTCCAGAAAGTTATGAATTTGATTGAGACCATCTATATGTTTTCGAGTGTCTGTGCCGACGTTTATCAGTGCTAGATCATCAGCATACCCAAATAAAGATACCTGGTCTTCTACTAAATGTTTTAAGGGGTCGCTATGAATATTGAAGAGAATAGGACTGATTGGCGAACCTTGTAGGAGACCTCGGTTAACAGATTCAGGCCTTATAATGCACCCTGTGATTGGGTCTTGGATGCAAATTTGCCGGTTGGTAAAGATATGCCCGATCAATGTTGCGAGATCATGTGGAATTGTAAACTGAGCAAATCGTTCCAACAGTTTAGGGATAAAAACATGATCATAAGCTGCCTTGATGTCTAGCAGGACCATTACCACATTGTTACCTGATGCTTAATTTGATGCAATAATAGAATAAATTCCAAAGAGATTCTTAGTGGTGCCTCTACCTCGACGAAAGCCTGACTGTAGCGGATTAAGCAAATTGAGATGTTCCACATGCCAATCCAATCTGTTTTTAATCATGAGATATATCTGTCGATATATCCTTGCCTGGTTTTGGAATAAGGCAGAGTAAATGCCGTTTCCACTCCATTGGGATGGTGATAGAACCATTCAGGTTAAAAACATTCGGAAAACTCACAAATCCAGTCTGCGGTGAATGCTGCAACATACTGTAAGTTATGAGATCCAGGCCCAGTGCGGTGTCCCGTTTGTACAGGGGCGCGGCATGCAATTCATCCATGTTGAATGGTATACTGGGTTTGACATGAGGGTTTTCCACGGAAGTAATGCTGTCAAGGAGTGTCTGAGTTAAAGATTGGATCATAATTTCAGCAATGCCGTTTTTTAGTAGAGGATTTCGTCGGGATGGCTGTCTGGAATTGGCAAATGCTCGAACTGAAGACCATACCCTAGAGATGGGAGTATCAGATAAGAGTTGGGCACAAAACATTTGAAAGTTTTGTTTCTTTTTCTCTCGTAATAACTTCCTGGTATATGCTCTTACCTTACGTACATTGATATAATTTTGCATATGAGGATGGTCTTTGTATTCTCGAGTTTTGTTCCTAGAGCCGAATATTTTTTGGGTATTGCTGAATCAGCAGCGTTTAAAACTATGTCGGCACCTTTGATGTTAAGGGGTCAAATTTTAGTAACTTTGAAATCATATGTTGAGTAAAATCATGCTTCGCACACTGAGAAAAATTACTATATTCATCATTCAAGAATAAAACTTGCTACACACACCATCCGGCCCACTAAGCGTTTACAACGACCAAAATGCTCCTATAGCCGTTTCACATAAAGACCGCGGTTGTTGTGGTCGCCTCGAAAACGTCACTCACCGACGCCATTACAAATGTTATCTCTCATTCGTAATTCATTTCCAATTTCTTAACTTATTCCATTATTCAATTTCATAAGTAATCAATGGAAAAATTACTTACACATAATGAAGCAATTATTAAAACTTATTGTTGAGGCTTACGTTACATCGCATTACTCTACTATATTCACGAAAACCAATTTCAGGCGTGTAATGGTTGGAAGTTTTCTTATTACAAACGTAGTAAATACATGTCTTCTTCCTAATATTATATGTCGAATATCAGTGTTTCCTATAAAAAAAAACGCCCGAAACATGTTTAATTATTTTTACGTGAATATCTTAAATTTGTAACACATGTATTTTTCCTGAGGGTAGCTACTCTATCCATTTTTTTATCTTTATTTTTGCTTCACTTGTATTTATATTTTATTTGATTGTCTCAATATTTTGTTAAAGTAATATCTTGAACTATGACTATGGGTATTGACACTAATAACAAATACCCAAAATAGAAAACTCGACTTGGTCTATAATGGGTTTTCTTTATACTATGTTGAATAGTTGAGTCTATAGTCTACATTGTATGCACATGTATTTATTTGTTTTACATTTCCTAATCAGAAGCGTTTTCTAGTGCAAAATATAGGACTGAGTTTCACTTTAAAGAAATATATTCATATAAATTTGAAATATATTATGTGCAATTTGAAATGTGTTTGTAAAATATTCAATTTTGTGTCATCTAGAGATATTTTTTATTATTTTGTTACTTCAATATTTGTATATATACTTTAAAATGCCAAAGTTTCTATTGATTTATTGATGGTTACACTACAAACTGTGATTCTCAGTAGAAAAAAGAGTTTTGGGGAAACGCCAGAATGTAATACGTATATTATATTTTAAATAGCAAGCGGGTAAAATCGGGTATTTTGGTTGAATGGTATGGGCACAGATTAAATTTAATCTGTGGTATGGGTATTTTGTAGATACGTCGTCGGCAATACTGGTTGCCATTCAAGCACATATTTAATCTGTGATTCAAGCACAGAAATTCTGTGATTCAAGTATTTTAGCGACAAGGAACAACAGAACAAAGAACAGCAAATGAAAAAAATTATAGTTTGTTGATGTTTTGTTTTGTCAATTTCGTTATCGAATTTACATTTTATTAATTATTGATCATACAACGTGTCAAACAATTATAACTAGCTTTTAGTTGCAAATATTTCAGGTAATGTTGAAAGCTGTAATTTTGATAGGAGGCCCCCAAAAAGGTACTTCAAAGAAATTTGTTGACCATAATAAACAAATATATAATTTTAAGGGACAAGATTCAGACCTTTATCCCTTGATATTCCTAAGCCTCTCTTTCCGGTGGCTGGCTTACCACTTATTCAGCACCATATAAAATCTTGTGTATCAACACAATGTGTAAAAGAAATTCTGCTGATTGGGTTCTATCCTGTTGTCCAGATTCAACCTTTCGTTAATGACATGCAGCACCAGTACAACATAATGATCAAGTAAGGCTTTATGAATAATTCACTGAATGTTGACCACCTTTACGTTAGCATATAACAGTGATTCTTATAACAATCATGGTTCTTACATTCACTATCTAGAAAGTATTTACAGCGATCGAGCAATACTACATCCTTCCTTTATAAAATCTGTCCCCAACTCTATAATCGCCAACTTAACACATTTGATAAACTTGATGGGAGGAATACACTCACTTTCTGGAAATGTATTATTTTGAGGTTTATATTAGAGGCACATTATATTTTCTATAGAAACAGACGTTTGCCTAGGAGTCCTCATTTCACTTTTTTTATAAATGAAACCAAAAATGTATTATATCCATTAATACTTGTTTCGAAACATGTACATGTGTAGCTTTAGCATTTTTCCATACGTAGTAATTTCTGGTAGATGTTCTCGAAAAAAAGAAAAAGATGTTTGTTTATTAAGTCGTCATGCTTTTTTGTTGAATTAACCCTAAGCCATTAAAAAAAATATTTTCCGGCACTCTGGGGATATACCATATCACTAAGCTGTTTCAGTAGGTGTATACCCAAGTTAACAAATTTGTGTTTATAATCCAAATTCCTTTTCGAAAAGCTTCAGCACTATCAAACCTGTTTGACAACGTTGGATGGAAATAATATCTACACAGGTATTAACTCTGATTTTAATAGTAATGGTTGTTAGAAATTGTAGTTTATGATGTCATATAAATGTGGTCTTTGTGAATATAATCTTTATTAATTTAAAGGAATATTATAATATAGTTATGGCAAAGATCAAAGCCAAATAACAAAAGGGGGAATATGTTTTGTGATTGTTATTTTCCCCATAGAAATTTTTTGATAACTGTTTTCGATATACATTTCCTTTCATTGAGAAATGACTTAATTCCCTGTATCAGCAGATGATTATATATCTAAACTGGTAATCATATGCTGATATAAGAAACTTTTATTCGTAATACAAATAGTTTTGAGTGTAAAACCATGTTAAAAATTTTGCTCATATCAAAATCTTCAATGAATGTCAAGATTGATTCAATAAAAATTTGAACACATTTAGATATCTTCAGGAGTTCACAGCTCTGGGAACTGCAGGTGGTCTTTTTCATTTTCGAGACCAAATCCGGTTTGGAAATCCAGATGCCTTTTTCGTTATGAATGCTGATGTCTGTGCAGATTTTCCCCTGAATGAGCTGTACAAGTTTCATAAAGAGCAATCCATCAAAAATAACAATAAAGCACTGGTGAGTTTTAACCTGTTGAAACATTTATGAATATATTTTTACTATTTTCCATTTAATATAGGTAACGATAATGGGTACAGAAGCCACAAGGCAGCAGTCATTACATTATGGTTGTATAGTGACAAATAAAGAAACTCATGAGGTTACACATTATGTGGAAAAGCCAAGTTCTTATGTGTCTACACTGATAAACTGTGGAATCTATGTATTCTCTCTAGATATATTCCAAACCATTGGAGAAGCTTTCACTTTGAAGCAAGATGAATTTTACAGGTATCAATAGGGGTTACGTTGGTCAATGCATTTAAAGTGTAGGGAGTATCCTCAGAACTATTGAAAAGATGATAACAATTCATTTTTCTAATGAATATTCATGTTCACTAAGGGAACTACACCATATTTGTTAAGACTACACTTTCCAGTCATTAAATTTATGAATTTTGCTTTTCCTGTTCCCCAAAAAATATATGTTGATAATTCACCACCTCAGCCCTTTTGCTTACTTTTAACAGAGTCCATAGTAAAAANACTTACTTTCGATATTGCATCTAATCGGCCATGATCAGATGGGAAAATTATTTACTTTTGTCAAGTGTGCCATGGATAATCATGTTATTTGAGTGGTGTATTTCGATTAAGTGAATTGTCGCTAAAAAGGTTAAACATATAATGGGTGATTTTTTTTTTGGCCCATATAAAAAAATTGTGTTGGTTACTCACAGACGAAACGTTACATTAAAAATCAGTAAACATCATCTTGCTCAGTTAGAATAGTGGCAATGGGAGAATGTTTTTTAATATATTCTTAAATAACGTCAGGAAATAATTGAAAAAAAAAGGCAATTCTATAAGGAATTCATCCATATCACTATTAACTACCTTTTTAGTTGATTTTTAAGCAAATACTCAACTGCTGATTTATTGCACTTTGGCATTTGCTATATTAAAATTTCCGAAGTATTCTGTTTTGCCCAGGAAATTATGAATTTTCTCAACTGCGTTATTTACTTTACATATGCAGATACTCGGACTGTCAGAAGACAGCGTGTGTCGCCTTTGGGAAATGATGAAACAGCAGAACACATTTTGTGCCTTCCCCGCTGCGGAGCGAATTATGTTTTCAGAGTTTGGTAGAACCACACTCTTACCATCTGACCTGAAAGATATCTTACCATATAAACTAATCGGCTTCGTCAAGAAGCCGATTAGTTTATAGAAGGTCGAGTTTGAATATTTGTGAGTCACAATAAAAGGGGGTATAGGTTGTTCACGTTAAGAAGAGAATGACGTCACAAGTTACGGCGTTGCCAACATGTGTACTATTTCGAACTTTCAAGTTTTTTGTACTGTCGATATGTTTTATCGCTATTATCCTTACTTACTTTTAGTATTTGTTGGGACTATTTCGACAATGCTTTAGGCATATTGGATATACGCAGGTCTCATCAAAAGAAATGATTAGTTCTGAAAAGAAAAGAAAGACTGACAGTTTTCGATTCGGCAACGTCTTAAATTTTACTATCAGTTGAGCAACTTACAAAATGAAATGTTACTAGTTTCGTTGCTGTTGAACGCATTTCAGTGGGAATTTCAACGTTGTTATGTTGGATATACAAAATTACCGAAAATAACGTAATTCTCTTCTTAACGTGTATATCCTATATAGGCTGTCAGATTAGCAACTTACAAAATGAAATTTTACTAGTTTCATTGCTATTGAACGCTTTTCTTTGGGAATTTTAAAGTTATGTTGGATATACAAAATTACCAAAAATGACGTAATTCTCTTCTTAACATGTATATCCTATATAGCAGGGGTTCCCAAACTTTTTTGTACCACGCCCCCTCTGGTTATTTGGAGACCCCCCCACGCCCCCTACACATATCAATAATTGTACGTATGGTGAAAATTTAAACAAGTATTACATGAAAAACGATCCTACCTAAAGAAGATGATTGTCAAAGGAGAATTGTGGAACATATACCTTTACGATTTGTTCAGTATTCATTTAAACCACAAAATTTCGAAATTAATGAGGTTCAGTCAAAAAACTTCCTGAAAAATAAAATTTTGATGGCACTATAGTATACCAGAATACTAGAATGGTTTTAAAACCATGATTTTATGTTTGCAGTGTTTCCTTTTGAATGGCGGTGTCCGAACTTCTACTTTTTTGTTGCAAAAAAATGCAACTCCCGCAAATTGTAAAAGTAGTGTTCAATTCATCTCAATAAGAAAAATAGATTTGGATATGACATATTTTACAATTATCACGGAACAATTCAATATTTTTATTACACATTTGTAGAATTACTGCCACAATTTTTGTATGATGATTTGCTTCTAGTAAAATAAAATGAACTCTTTCTAGTTAGGGCCAAATGTAAGCATAGGACCAGGAGTGACTGTGGGCCCAGGTGTAAGGATACGAGAGAGTATAATTTTGTCAGAAGCCACCATTGATGAGCACAGCTTAGTTCTCCATAGCATTATTGGACGAGGTTCCAGGGTAGGACGATGGGCTAGAGTTGAAGGAACTCCTTCAGATCCAGATCCTAACAAACCATTTGCCAAGATGGAGAATCCTCCTTTGTTCAACAGTGATGGAAGATTGAACCCATCAATCACAATTTTGGGTGAGTTTCAGGTTCTGAAGATTGTTATTATGGTCCATTTTTTGTTTCAACTACACCTTTGTTGCAGGCTGTTCTGTGAGCGTTCCATCCGAGACTATTTTATTGAATTCAATTGTACTTCCTAATAAAGAATTATCAAGAAGCATAAAGAATGAAATAATATTGTAAAGTATTCAAAAATATAGTGTTTTATATATATTGATGTTATATATGAATTTTATCACTGTATGGTATTTGTGATGCACTGTTTGGAACCTTTGGTGTAGTAATGAGTACTGGAGTTTCATCACAATTCCAAACCATTATTTTCAACACCTTGACACGAGGTGTTGCGATAAAACTCCAGTAATTTACTGTATGGTATAAGGAGACAAAAAGAAGTTCAATCATATTATAAAGATGCCCAATTGACTAATTTATTCTCGTTTTTACCTTCAGAAAAATTACATTGAGGTGACCATCAAGTTTGTGAGATTCATGGAAAATACACCTAGTGTCAACAAATTTTTAGACAAGACATAACTTGTGGAATATTAAGTGTATCAAAATGACACTTGGTAAAAGTAAATGGTATATGAAAAAAAATTCTTGCATATTTTTCAGTGTATATTCTATATATGCTGTTCACGTTAAGAAGAGAATGACGTCATTTTTGGTAATTTTGTATATCCAACATAACAACTTTAAAATTCCCAAAGAAAAGCGTTCAATAGCAATGAAACTAGTAAAATTACATTTTGTAAGTTGCTAATCTGACAGTAATAGAACCAATTCCATAAAACAGGAAATGCCTACGATAGTGAATTTCAAACAGTGTGCGTGTAGGAATTTTGGTCATAATTACTCCCAACGCCTATGTAAAAGAATTTTGCAATAATTAACAGAAACTAAAATTGTAAAAATTGACGTGTTTAATGTAAAACGATGACTTTAAAAGAAAAACTAGCAACGTATGAAGATCGAATAATTAGGGACTCTCGTCTTTTTTTCGAGGTCAGGTGAAGAAGGAGTACCTACTCCATTGCGTGGAAGTGACTGCTCAGCCGACCATTTGTATTTATAGCGGTCGATTTATAGTTTTTTGATAATTCTTTTGAAACGTATACTCAAAAAAATAAAATTATTTTGAAACTATTTTATACCTTAGATAGCAACAAAATGTAAATCAAGTTATTTAATTAACGACAATAATACTTTTTCAGTATTACTGTTCTCTGAAGGTCTGTAAGTTTATATTTAGTTTTTACAGCGATACTGTTTTAAAATAAATCCCACAGCAACAAAACCATTAGTGATGACACTTTAGTCAAAATACTAAAAAATCTGGTTTTCCGTTAACCAGCTGTCGCCCCTACGAAACTTGTGCGAGTTAAGGATTAATGACGTCTTACCTTTTAATGTGCAAACATCTAATCAGAGAGAGAACTCCCTCAAACAGAAAACAATATTTTCTCATCAATATATCTACAATGAAGGTATGAAATTTGAGAGCGTCTTCTCATCTATTATCGATTTTTTTATATTTCGAGATATTGATTTCTGGTATAGAAAAGCGATTCATGAGAAAAAACCGGAATTTTATTGAATTCTGAATTTGAACTAAGAATTTTGGGTAAAAAGATTATGGCCAAGCAGTCGAATGACAAATTTGAAAAACTAAAAATATGTGTTTCTGGCCTATTCGCCTTTATCAGAGAATTGTAGCCAAGTGTAGAGGATGGCCAACACTTGGTTGCCAGAAGCTGAAATATGCGGACTCACCAACGAGCTCAGAAAACTAAGTGTTTACAAAAAAAGAGCTTGTTCTTCACTTTTTTAATGTTCATTATGTCTATTGCTTGAAATCCCTTTATATACCTAACCAATTCTGGACTCCTACGTTACGCTAATAGTTTTTTAATATTATTATTTTTTAACGCAAATAAGTTACAGCTATCTTCTTGACTTTGTTAGTTGTCTACAATATGCCAATCATCTTCTTGAATGATTGCTAGGTTATACGTATACGCCACTCGTTAAATATCTCTTTTGTAGAAAAAGTCCCGGACATGAATATCATGCAGATTATAGTTATAGCTGCCTTCATGGATATGTTAGTTGTCGCTTTCACAAAACAGCCAGGTTAGGTTAGGTTAGCCAGTGGCTGTTTTGTGATCGCTTTGTAAATACAAGGTCATTTGAATATTTAAACCACAAAATTTCGAAATTAATGAGGTTAATATATTTGTTTATAGCAAAATAAGTGATTAATCTTTATTGAACTTTTGTAAAATAGTTCTCATTTATCTATTTCTTCTCATAAATTTCTTCAAATCTTGAAAACTTTTCAGACAATGGAAGTTGAAAGATGAATGCTCATTACTATTTATTACTTGTTTCTTGTTTTTTAAAGTTTGAAGATTATTCAAAATACTGCTGATGAAGAGTTGAACATAGATATGTTCATTCAAAACCATAGACTCAGTTTGAGAATAAATGCAATTAATGTAGGTATTCAAAATATTAGATAAATACTTTTCATATTTTGCATTATTGTGCATTGGGTTCGAATGGTATTTAGTATAATTTCTATTATAAATATTCGATGTAGGAACTGACAAAGAAATTGTGATTTTTAAGCAATTCATTATCTCTAAGTATACTTCTTTCATCATATTTCTATCTACTTTAACTATTGATTTCTTGAATTAATCATTAATATTTCTTTGTTCTGTTTCTTTTCTTCCAAATCTTTCTGTTCTTTGTATGGTAATGGAAAAAATATTCCGAAAAACATTATTCCATTGAAATAAACAGTTTTTCAGAATCACAATTCAAATTATTGTAGATTACTGATCTCCTGTAATCCAGAATTAAAAACTTGAAATGTTGAGGATTATCAAAACGGCTCTAGTGCAAATGCAGAGTGGTGCTGACCGCTTGATGAATTTGGAACATGCAGCAAAACTTATATCAAACGCTAAGCAACTTGGTGCAAAACTAATTGCTCTTCCTGAATGTTTCAACTCTCCGTATGGAACAAACTTTTTCAGTGAATATGCTGAGTCCATCCCAAATGGACCTACTAGTGAGATGTTATCCAAAGCAGCAAGAGAAAATTCAGTCTACCTTGTAGGTGGAACTTTTCCCGAGGTAGAAAATAATAAATACTACAATACATGTACAGTTTGGAATCCGGAAGGAAAACTGGTAGCCAAGTTTAGAAAAATGCATTTATTTGATATTGATATTCCTGGAAAAATAACTTTCAAAGAGTCAGATATCCTAAGTCCAGGCAGTGAGTTGGTGACATTCGATTTGGAAGGAGTGAAAGTGGGTCTGGGGATATGTTATGACTTAAGATTCGAAGAACTTGCAAAGCTTTACAGGTTACAGGGATATTGTAGATTGAGATTGATTGAGAAGGTATAATCCTTGAAATTTCACATCCATTTACCTTTTTGCTGAACTTAAAACTGCAGAAGGAAACAATTTGCATGTAATAACATTTGTCCAATAACTCGTGACTAGTCATTGAATCAGAGTGGTAATAAATTGTTTAACTATTTGTCTACTACAAATACTATATAATCCACTGGAGCTACGGTTTTGAAAATATTACATTTGTTTAAAACAAGAGGATGTTGGATTGTTTCACAACTTTACCAATAACTATAATGACGCTCTTCCTTCTTATAGTAACACCAAATATTGTATAATTTATGCAATGTTTCACTGTTCAGCTGCAATACCAGTTATATTCACCAAACAAATGGGTATTGACTTTGCATCTTTCAATATTGACCTTTCAAACGTGGTTCAAATATTTGTATAAAATTGGCATGATAAACTGAAGGCTAAATAGAAAGTTTATTTAACGTATGTACTTTGATCATTTACTCTTTGCCTTTTAGAATTGTTTAGTTACTTGAAATGAACCGGCTTATGTTACCTAAAATTTTTGAGACTTCTTCCATCAATTGATTGAATTTTTCAGCTGCTTTCAATATGACAACAGGTCCTATACACTTTGAGATTCTTCAGAAGGCCCGAGCCCTGGATAACCAAGTGTTTGTATGTACTATCAGCCCTGCAAGGAATGATACAGGGTACATTGCCTGGGGTCACTCTCAAATAACAAGTCCCTGGGGTAAGGTTCTTGCACAAGCGAAAGAAAAGGGAGAAATAATATTAGCTGATATTGACTTAGCTGAATGTGATGACGTTAGGGCACAAATTCCTATTTTTCATCAAAGAAGAAATGATGTGTATGATACGGTGAAGAAAAAATGAGGGTTTGTTTGCAGGATGATGGAGTTAGAATATGTTCGACTGGTGGTCACTTTTTTCTTTGATGTATATTGATTTATATAAAGAAATTATAAAATGAATTAATAACTTGAGATTTTTTTCTGGTAATAGCATTACCAGGTTGATTCGAGATATTATGTGGTATCATTACATGTTATATCCTTACTTCTTTTCTTCTAGAGGCAATATTGAGGATGTCTTTATTCAGAAGAAATAATTATCTTATTTTCACTTGAAGCAATTTGCTTATCAAGAAAGTAGATGATGGATTATCCATTTTAGGAACCTAATGTTCAATTGTTAATAGGTGCAGTCATAGAATGAGAATAAAAGACTGTGAAAAAAAACGCACCTTTGTTGAAACTAGAGCCAAAAAAAATACATATTTGTGATCCAACTTTCATCCCCTAGAGCACGAAGGTGTCTTAAAGGTGTGTGTTTGAAGACAACATATTATGAAAACATAAGATAAAGACATCTTGAAGATATATATTCTTACAAATAATGATATTTTTGAAAGATGTTTTCAAGTCATCTTTGAAATCATCTTATAGATGTAACTGATCTGTTGACCAGATGTCAGTCTCCTATGCATGATAACCCTCAGAAGTTGAACCTTGTGCAAGTTAAGGATTAACGAGGTCTCATCTTTTAACGTGCAATTCCTAGCAGGGCTAAACGCTATGTGGTGCAAACTAACTACTGTTCTAAATATCAGAAGACTGAATGGGTACAACAAACCATTTGTGCAATTCATGATTTCTCTTGCAAATTCCGAAGAAATGACAACATACATAAGTTTATAATACAAAAAAACCATATATACTCCAAAAAAACCCGTTAGGAAGCACACATTTATTATTAAATTGCCTAAAAATTAACTAGAATCAATTACTATCAGCTAGCTTTTCAAATGTCAGGCATATATTTGGCATGTATTGAAAACATTTTCCCGAATAAATAAAATACTGTCTCTCAACTCGTTATTATGCTAACTCAATAAGAGGAGACGTTATTGCCTTGGCTTACTCAGGTTTGTCCTGCAGTACATTGTTCACCTTAGATACCTACTGATGGCAAGTCAAGCAGCGCTTTTTGTTGTTGGATCACGAATGCGTTGTTTCTAGGCTCTGGTTTCAAATAATTGCCTTGCAGTGGAAGCTACAGAGAAAGGACAAATTTTGTTTTACATACATGTTGATATCGAATCTTGGCTTTGTAAGTGACCACCTTGGGGAACCTTGTTTATCTTTGATATTCAAGGACCGAGTCTTCTTTCTTTGTAGAGGAAAATGTCATCTCCTTTACTCATACACCTTTTAATGGTTATTAGCCGAAAATATTGTTTTATCTTCGTTACTGAAAATTGTTGAAATAATAATCATCAGAAAAATGCAGGGTGCAAAATATTTTACAAAAATTGTCATGTTAAGTAGATGCAATTTGTTGTATGCCATGTAATTTATATTAAGTGAATTGCTAGGTCAGTTGGCATGTCGTCTGTTGCCAAGTCGAAGCAGATCGAATGTTTGTTAGCTTAAAAGTTTTCAGAAACCCGCCAATATTTAAAAAAAAACTGGTGGTTGTTTAAAAATAATTTCTGATTGTGGAACACAATGGATTGACATCGAGTCATAATGGAATGATGGAATATTTTGAATTCCAACAATTTTATTCTCGAGATTCCACAAGCATGGTTGGTCGGTAGCCGGGCGGTTCGAGGTGGATGCTTTGTTCACTCAGTCAATCAGTCGATCGATAGTTCAAGTTCCAGACTGAACGCTTGATTTTCACTTGCTATCGTCCAACCCGTGTTGGGAATCACACGTTAAAAGGTAAGATCTCGTTAATCCTTAGCTCGCACAAGTTTCGACTTCTGAGGGTTATCGTTCGTAGGGGTGCGATAGTTGGTTTACGGAAAATACATATTTAAACATACATTATATGCAGCCTGTGGAAAAATTTGGACAAATTGAATGAAATTTGTGTTATTTCAATATGCATTTCATGCAACAGTGATATTTTATATAGAAATTTGCAAATAAGATTGTAAAAAATGATACTGAAATGAACACTTGAACTGGATGTTTACAAGATAAAACTTTCGTGTGTGTATATTATAAATGTAGTGAAAAATCACTATTTATTTTCAATAGGAAGCTGATTGGGTGAAAGTATACAGCCTAAAGGCTATCTAGGGAACAAATAATGTGGACCACAACCACTTCAGCTACCATTCTACATGATTGAGTCATACACCAAACTTATTTCACTCTGTGAACGTTTTTACAATGTAAATAAATGAGAACACATTAACTTTGAAGTGTGGTGTATTAACGCTCCTATTCATTCACATTGTGAATGAATTAGCAAATGCTGATAGGTTTAATTGTTTGCAATTTGACTAAATTAATGTCATGTTAGCATAACTTCACAGATGATGACGCTCTGTTAAAACCAAATAACAAGTTAAAGGATTATTTTCTCCTACAAGAGTATATTTTTGGACATAATTGTTTCATAGTACATTTCAGTTGAATTAGAAATTAATGAAAATAGGGTGATGCGACTTTGAAGGCTGTGTGGTTATTTCCTTGAAAAAACTTATGCCGTGCATACTCTCTCATTATCTCTCTGCAGTCATTATCTTCACTATCCAGGCTTTGGAGAAGGGTTATTAAAATATGCACACTTCCCAATATGGCGAACGTTAATAGAATTGATTCTAATGTTGATAATGCCATTGCTTTTTTTCCAAGGAATTGATTTATAGTGGCTACATGCTGACTAAAAATTAGTATAATAAAATTAAATGTCACAAAAAATACTTATCTACTGACAAAAACGTCAACTTTTTATTCAGGGTGTTTCCTAAAAGTGAACAGATTCTGTCTAGTATATATACCTACTGAATGATAAAAACTCAGCTTGAAGAACCTCTTTCATGAATGATAAATCTCAAACTCCCTGAAACGGTAACATTCACAAAAGTCGTGATGGAATTGGCCGATAGTTGATGAAAATGCAAAACGTATTCAAGTAACACTTTATTGTGAGATTTTCATGAAGTTTACAAAACCGCAACACCTGTTTCACTATACAATAGCTTCGTCAGGTGTATTCACACTGAGTGAGAAACTTGAATTAACAAAATATAAAAGTCAATGACTAATCTCACTTGTTGCATCAAGGAATGAATACATGATGCATTTTTGATAAGATTCTGTATGTAACAGTAGAAACAAGGGCGAGAATTACGGCAGCAGGAAAAATAAATAATAAACAGAGGGATTACTGGAGTCAATGATTATATGAAATCAACTAACTTATACATGCATTGCCGAACTTAACAATTAACAAAAAAAATTGTGATGTGAAATGGAAATCAATAGATGAATGCGTTGAACATTGAGTGAAATATCAATAATACGCAAATCTTTTCTTAAAATATTCAACATAGAAATCTAGAATTTCCCGAGATTCCCAGTAATTCGATTGGTAGATTATCAACATTTAGGTATCAATTCTAATACATACGTAATTTAGTTCTACGAGAATATCTATTCCATTTGCAATCAAGAATACCATATAGTATTTGCTTGGGAGTATTTATGGGGGAATATAAAACCCTGTGAGTATCCTCTCATGATTTCGCGAATTGGGCCCGTGATGGTATCTGTTGATAAATTGATCGTTACCTTTCGTGTTGAAATTGTAAAAGAGATCCAGGCTTGTAGGTTTCTTTTGTTATATTCGTTGAATCTTCAAAATAGGTCATAAAAAAGTCAGTAAAATGAAAATAAATATGTTTCTGAATATTTCAAATTATGTGGGGTGGTTTATCATTTGAATGAAGTTCTGAATTGAGTCATTATTATACTCTAACTGCTAACTGGATCGTAATCAATGATGCCCCGGTGAACAATATATTATTATGGCAGCTGTAGGAGTAATAATAAAGTTTCAACAAACTTTCTGTATACTCTTATTTATAACAGACGTAATATATCGTGAAGGTGGTGCTGAAATTGGTTCCTCAGGGGTTTTTCTTACAACCAACGACATCCTGGGTTACTTATGTGGTACTTTTTGAATGTTATTCTCTTTACATTGAGTACGGTAGTTTACATAACTTCATGTTCTATAAAATTGTAACACACTTTGGTTATTCATTTTAAATTTTCGGTTGACGATTTTGTTAGTTACGGTACAGAGAAGCAGTCTGATTTCCTGAATTTGCAAATTGATTTTGAGACTTAGACCAGGAAGAGTAAAAATTTTACATTGGCTTTCTTGAAAACAAGGATGGAATCATTAAGAACTTTCGTCTTCATTTATCAAAGTCATAGCGAAGTCGAATCTCCATATAATTATCTAAATTTCAGTACGAAAATAAAATATCGAGTAGCAATTCTGACGCAGCCACTGACTCAGAGTAGATTGTTTACTATCACAAAACACTACTAGATATGTTCTGTGTTTACCGTTCTGTGCCGCTAAGGTACGGTACGTCGACGTCCGACGTCGCGTAATGTCTATTGTCTATGACTAACGACTAACCTATATAGTCAAGTAGACAATTTTAATTACTTTGGATAAAAGTATCATTATCATATGAAAAATAATATGACATGCCTTTAAACTTGTTAGGAGTCTATGATTTTCACCCAAGATCCACAAAGTAATTAAATTAAAAATGTTGAGAAGGTCCCTGTCAGTTCTCAGTTCAAAGTCCTTTGAATATTCTGCTGTTACAAAAAAACGGAGAATTAAATCATGGCAGCTTCATGAGTATGGAGGAATTGATGAACTACAACTTGGGTCGATTCGGTTGCCAGTTATAAGAGACCCAAATGAAGTTCTTGTACAAGTTAATGCTGCTTCCGTTAACCCAATAGATTTACTTATGATAGGTTGTTCAATGCTTTTCTAGCTACTTCAAGAATATAAATAATTAAAATTCACATTTTGCAGGAGGTTATGGTAGAAATTTATTTCAAATTCAAAGAAATTTTGAAAACGAACTACCTTTGACTGTAGGCCGAGATTTTGCTGGAACTATCATAGCTAAAGGTCATAAAGTTCGAGATGGGATGAAAGTTGGCGATGAAGTTTATGGATTTATTCCTTTACATAAGCAAGGAACTTTTTCAGAAGTTATTTTGGCCAATGCTTGCCATGTATGTGGGGATGTTTTACACATTTGTAGGACAGATTAGTAGTCATTCACACATTACTTTTAAGATGAGTGGCTCATTTGGGATAATTACCTTTTCAAAACTAGATATTTTATGATGTTAAGACACACAGGGTCAAAAACAAACTTTGAATCACATTTGACTTCATTTCAATAGCCTTATTTGAGTATAAAAAATACATTCAAAACCTGCTATACTTCAAAGAAGTTGTGTTTGGAATAGAGTAATGTCAAAACTAAAAAGTTCGTGTGGGTTGTATTGAGTCTTATTTTCCAAACATATTGAGTTTGATTTTCCAAATGTTGCAATGAGTCTCATTTTCCAAAAAATGCAGTGAGTCTTATTTTCTGAACAATGAAATTCACAAGAATTGGACAAAACCACATTTTTTGTATAAAGATGGAGAAGTATAAAGCTGAAAAATCCTCAAATCCTCAAAATATACCCCTTTCAATTTAAACAAGATTCCTATGGCTGGGATTAGATCAAATAAGCAAGTGAATGTCATTACGTACTGTCATTGATGACATGAGCAGATGATATTACCTCTTTCATATATGATATTGTATAGCAATCCTGAGAATGATATCTGAATCAATTCCATAATGCATGTTTGGAGCACGAACCGTGAGTTTTTTTATATAATTCAATGTTTTGAAAGTATTTCTTCTTTCGTGTAATTAAATGTTTATATGAAAGTAGTTGTTTCGAGAGGACTTTTTTCCAATTTGTGGCTGAAAGTTTCTTCATTACATGATCTACACATCTTTGTGAATAATTTATTTCGAAGTTAATTGCTTTCCAAAACCTTTTTTCCCAATTAGTAATGCCATTTAGACTTCCTTTATCAGAAAAGCAGAAAACCACCTCCCTCAGACTTTCGATGTTGACTAATTTGAAATACGATAATTTTTTGTTAATTTTCACCAAATTGACACTGTTTTAAGTAACAGAAATTTTTTTTCAGATTTCACGTATGCTTTGGACATAAAAAACATTGAATTTATTAAAATATTCATCCATTGATGTTATACATTTATCATTAGATGTTTCACGTTATTTTCATTGAATATTGCTGATTTCAAAGTTTTAAACATTTGCTTACAATCAAATCGTAGTTTCTCATTTCGAATTTTGGAGACTACTGAATTTCTCATTTTTTTTTATATTCATTTCAGTCATTCAGTTGCTTCATGACATTGTACAGTTTGTAGCGATTATTTCTTTGTTCTGTGGCTTTCAAAATGTTGTGATTGAACAAAAATTTGGAATTATTAATTACATATTCCTTTTTAGGCATATACTTATCCAAAAGTTTGACAACATTTCTATGAAAATTGTTGTATTTTTAATCAATATCACTGTTATCAAAATTACAGTTCATTTTATATAATGATAATGAATTGAAAAAACTTTTATTTGAGATTCACAGAATCGTTGTTGGAGAAAATAATTATAATTCACAATTATTTATTCTAGATTCTCTTTAATGAAATGGACAAAAACACGTATTTTATTTTAACGACAGGTCTCGGATTTTACTCCATTACCAAATATAAAACTTGATAATGAGGCAAAACCCGAAACCGGTCGTAAAAATAAAATAACCAGTGGAAATTAGACAAAAGTGTTTTCGTTCATTTCATTAAAGTGATCATGAATTTCCACAAAATAAACAAGTCATCAATCACACATATTCTAGGTTCTACCAATACCTAAACAGCTGAGTTCAATAGAGAGTACCTCTTTAGTTTATGCTACTATGACTGCTTGGAGTGCTCTCTTCATTTTTGGAAATTTGGTGAGCAAACAGACAGATGGATTGCGAGTTTTGATATTGGGGTGCTCAGGAGGTGTAGGAACTGCAGCTGTTCAACTTTTGAAATCTCAAGACTGTGTGGTGAGGCATAATATAAATTAAATGAGGCATTTTAAATATGGATGCATTATGAATAGTACAAATGGTATCATACTATAGCAATAGTCTATAAAAATATGCAAAAAGAATGATACTTGTGTAGCAAACACATCCTATGTGAAACAAAATTTTTCTTTATTCCATAAGCAGCCATCAGTCCGAACACAAAAATTATACATACATGCTATTGTAGTAAGGTTATAATAGTCATTTAAAATGGAATTATTAACTATTATTAATGATAGTGAGTTTTTCAATTTATATTGTATATTCAGATAAAGATGGAAAACGAATTCAGAGCTGGAATGTACCTATGTTTCCATAAGAAACTTAAATTCAAATGAATCTAAATTTTAAATGGCATGTTTAAATTATGTTGGGTACTATATATTTAGGGTGGTCTGTGAAAAAACATCTTGGCACAAAGTTCTGTTATAACTGTCATTCTCAGTCAGCATTATTTTCTTTAATTTTTGAAAACTCAATTTATGGTATTCACTGTAAGGCCAATTGACGATAATTGTACTGTATACATTGTATAAATTATTTTTTTGCTGATCATTCCAATCATCATTTTTTCAGGTTTTTGGGACTTGTTCCAGTGATGCTGTATCATTAGTTTACAATTTAGGTGCTGATTGTGTATTTGACTATTCCTCTCCAGATTTTCATAAAAATGTGGAGCTTGAAGGCAGGTAAATTGGAAAATATGTACTATCAACTGAAATTTCACTTATCTTATTCTACAACTTTAGGTGAAGTAGTTAGGCAGAGTAAAATAAGACAAATGTGCTTTTTTTCAAATTCAGCACAAGACTGAACCTTTGACCTCGTGACGAATAGACAAAAGATAGATGAGTACAATTTTGGATAGATTTATTTATTGATTCTTCAGGTTACACCCAACTACAGAACAGGGATATAAGTCAAATTACAATACAATACAATTACAATAAGATAAAAACAATACATATAGAATTATCTGAAGTAAAAAGACCTAATCTCAGAGATGAAACAGTAAAAAACTGTCGAGTTGACAACTTGCAGAATTGCATTTGACACACATGTTACGCAGAGGTGAACATTTCAGAATATTTGTACGTGGTGTTGGCAGATAAAAAGGATAAACCACTCTAGAGGTTGGTCTAGGTATATTGAAATTCAGTTTTTGCAGAATATGTGGGTCAATAATTAAATTATTAATAAGTTCAAAAAGAAAACTTGTGGAGTGAAAATCACGACGGCAACTCAAGCTATTCATAGCATGTCTAGCTAACAATGCATCATGGGGAAATCCAATCGGTGGATAGATATTGTCTGATCTATAGGAGAGAAGTTTTAGAAAATGACGTTGTACTGATTCTACTTTCTCTGTATATAACTGATGAGATGGATTCCAGATTATGGATGCATATTCTAATTTTGATCTGACGAAAGCATAGTATAAGGTTTTCAATGTAAATGGACCCACGAAATCTCTAGAGATTCGTGCAATGAATCCATAAGTTCTGTTTCAGCAGACAGAATGGCTTCAATGTGTGATACGAAGGAAGGTAACACCTAGATCGGTGAATGTGAGAGGCTCTTGAAGTGGGATATCGTTTATTAAATATTGTTATGAAAATGGACGATTTTTTTAGTGTGAACGTCATTACATTACATTTATTCGCGTTTAAAGGAAGATTATTGCGAAAACACCATTGCTCAACACGTTTCAGATTGAGGGAGAGTTGAAGACAGTCCTCGATGCCATTGATTTCACAATATAATTTCAGGTCATCCGCGTATATCAAACAGTTGATGTCAATGACCTCAACTATGTCATTTATGAAGGCATTGAAGAGAAGTGGACCTAGGTTGCTTCCTTGTGGAAAACTCGACGTAGTTGCATATTCCACGCACTTGAAGCCATTGAATATAACATACTGACGCCTGTCAGTGAAGTATGATATAAAAAGTTGGATCAGGGTACATACTTTTGATTTTTCTGATATAATTCGTCAACACTCCACTTTTGATTGAAAGTAATCATTATGCCTACCAATTTTAACAATTTAAGTTTCTTTGAACATACATTTTTAGTGAAAATATTTGCAGGCATAACATCTGTAGGCAAATATTTGTTTGAATATTGATTTATTCTGGCTTTGAGCGTGACTCCTTTTCTTTTACTTATAGGAAAATGACTGAGAGTTTTATTGACATTTTTACATTTTTATTTATTTTTGACAAAAGTGACAGTAGTGCATGACAAGCATATGACATCACAGCATGACCACCTTATATTTTATGTTGTCTTAAAAAACGGTAGACACTGTTTAACTTTTAACACACTCCCTCAACAGAAAATATATGAACATAAAAAAAATTACAAATAAGCAATTACACTCCTTGAAAATAAGGAATGATTAGACATACAATAATGATAGAATATATAGGTAGGAGCATCAACAATGCAACATATTGAATGATGAATGCAAAAAAAAGAGTAAATATTTCACTAAAAATACGACAAACAATTGGCACAAAAAAAAGCACATAAGTGTACAGTTTTATAGGGCACATGAGAGTACAGTTTCAAGAACACATTAGCTGTTCCCTGAGAAAGGCAAATTTGATAGCTTCAAGAGGTTTTGTTAGGATGTCAGCTACATTTTGATCTGTAGGACAATAAGTGATCTTAAACCATCCTTTCTTAAATTCGTCTTTTATAAGATGATACTTTACATCTATATAAATGCATTTTCTTGTAAGCTGATTGGCCTTGATCATCTTGATACAGCTTGTGTTGTCTACATGGAGAACAACATTGATCTTGTGTTCGAGCAATTCTTCAAGGACGGAGTTTACATATTTCATCTCCTTACAGCATTGAGCCGCTGCAATGTATTCAGCTTCAGTAGATGATTGTGCAACAAGGGATTGCTTCCGTGAGCACCAGGCAATTGGTCCATTTGCATATTTCATTAAATAACCGGTGGTACTCTTTCCATCCTTTTTATCTCCTCCATGGCTTGAGTCGCAGTAAACCTCCAGGGTGTATTTATTTTTATTTTTGTTTGAGTACAATNTTCTTTATTATTAGTTTGTCTGGTTGGTTGGACAGATCTGCTTCGAAGTGAATATTTAGTTGTGTGAACTCGAATTATAACTCCTAAGGAGTTTGCATCTCAATCTTGCCGTTCCAATCTGAGTCTACTCTAAACGAGTAGACTAAGACTGGAACGGCTAGCATATTCGTTGCAGCAACTTTGTTCTTCCCCGACAGCTAAGATGACCAGATCTGTTGGAGTTTGTGCTGATACTTGCCGGCGGAAGGAGTTCTTTACTGCTGTTACCTCATGTGAGTGGAATTGTTCCACCCCGTGTTAAGTATACGTCTCTACGGCATACAGGTGGTGCAGGATGCTTCCATCAATGAGTTGCACATCCTCTCCGTAGTCCCCGTACCGTCCTCTTTTGAAATGGATCGTTGCACATTTGTCTATTTTGAATTTCATACCGATAACATGCATTACTCTTCCACCACCTTCAAGGATTGATAAAGATCCTTTTCTCCAAGGGCATAAAGTTCAAGATCATCTAAATAAAACAAATAGGTAACTTTGTGCCTCCGGTTTACGGCGGTGCTACAGTATTTCTGATCGCAACGGATAATGGCAATAGTGAGATGCAGAAGAGAAGGAGACTGAGGGAATCGCCCTGAAATACACCCCTTCTGAAAGTGACCCAACCTTTTTGATCTCTAATCTGACCAGATGCTATGGTGAAGCGAGTCCGCCAGAGTGGTATTAGTTGTTCAAGGCATCTCACTATTTTGTCAGGTACCACAAGGCATTTGAGAAAATGCATGAAAAAGGATGGAGTTATGACACAAATGAATATCTTGGAAAACCATATTCTAAGAGAGATGAACTATTTTAATATTGACATATATTTGGCTTCTGTGCTTGAACATACAATAAAAGATGTATCTAGCATAGTTGAAACAGAAGTAGATAGGACTCCCAATCAGCTTTTGGTAAGAAAATTGAGCTCTACCATTTCTTTTATCAAATCTAACTATATTTCTATCAGTGTTTTAACTCCTTTAGCATTGAACATGTTAAATTTCTTCAACAACTGAATTATATAATTTTTCGACTCCTTTCTATAAGTTTAATTTTGTATCTGAATCTATTGCATGCCCAAACATTCTGTAATTCTCCCTTACTCTTCAACATAAAACCTAAAGCCTAATTCCTTTTTAGGCTTATTGGCTTCAGAACAAATTAAAAATCATCTACAACGTTATGATTTTCCTTCTTCATAAATATACAAGATTCCTGTTTTGATTTTTGATATTTCAGTTCACATAAAACCTTATTTACTCTATCATTCTATGCTCTATACTAAATACTAAAACCAATAATGATTGAGAGTAGAAGTAAGCCCAGTTGACAGCAAATCGGGGGCGTGCTTATTAATTTTTGAGAGGGTTAAGAATGAAATTTTGATATTATGACAATTATTTCATTTATTGTTACTGGTTGTAAGTATATTGATGAGTCATTATTTTCGGTTTTTAAAAATTTGGTGGTATAATTGTGTGAGCTATTTTGTTTGACATTTTGTATCCGTGTTCTGTGAAAAATTTATTAAATTTGTTTGCTTTGGTCTTATTTTCTTTTATGTGCATATTTTGGTCATCAACAATTATTGTATTTTCAATGTGTTTATTTTTTTTTGTTTTTTCCAGATGCATCATTTATTATCTTATATTTTTGTAGTCCCCATTTGCCTCTTCAATTTTTATCTGATAGTATTCATTTTTAGTTTTTCTAATCAATTGATTAAGTCTATTTCTGTGGTTTTTATATTTGATCTCTAAATGCTGTGAGTATTTTTTAATTAGTTGATGTTTAAGATGATCTCTTTGTTTGATTGATGTAATTATTCCACAGGTGATCCATGATTTGATTTTCTTTATTTTATGTATTTTTTTTAATTTCCACAATTTTCCACAAGTGCACGGTATGCGATAGACCCTTGCCGCTGATAATGGGTCTCTTTTGTCTTTAGCCGACCTGAGGCTTTGTTGTATCTTCCTCGTGGGTTTGAAGACTGTTACGATGTCGTGTTTGCCCAATAGTTTTCCAATTCTATCCTTGACCCTAGGGATAAACGGTAGATATGCGCGTGCAACCATCCGAGCCTTTTTCGCTTTCTGAACTGTGGTACCTTTCGGTCTCATGGCTTTTCTGGTCTCGGAGGCACTGTATCCATTCGATCTCAGGGTCATTTCAAGGTATTTCAGTTCCCTCTCCAGATGTTCTGGTTCACATATTCTCCGAGCCCGTTCCGTTAGAGTGGAGATAACTCCTCTCTTTTGGCTAGGATGGTGATTCGATAGTGAGTGCAAGTATCTATCTGTGTGTGTTGGTTTTCGATACACTTTGTGGGTTAGTCTGGTACCACATCGTTCTACTAGTACATCTAGGAAAGCTATCCGTTGGTCTTGCTCAATCTCCATGGTGAATTCTATACTCGGGTGTTGGGCGTTCAAGTGGTTTAGGAAACGGTTCAGGGCGTCTCTTTCATGTTTCCAGATGACGAAGGTGTCATCCACGTAATGTAGCCACAAGGTCGGCTTCAATTCAAAAGTGTCTATCGTCTTCCCTTCAAATCGTTCCATGAAATTATTTGCTATCACTGGACTAAGTGAACTCCCCATCGCAACGCCATCTAGTTGCGGCTTTCAACTTCGAAAAGCAATGACACTGAATTTTCTCTATACTATCTATCATACCACTACTTCATCTGCACATCTAGAATCAATTTCTACCCGCAAGTTGAAATTTGCTAAGCGGTAAATATTTACATGATTCAGCATATCTGGTTTCATAACGCTTAAGGTATCCTCTTTCCAAAACGTTTAGCGTTATCGAGCCAATTCGATGAGGTCAGATAAAAATGGGGTTAACATAGTCAATAACGTTGGTTTTACTAACATAGGTTGTCAGGAAACCTCCTTTAGATGCATTGTAAACGTGTTCATAGATATTTGTTACCAATGATTTCTTTTGAGATATTATTTCAATGTTACATTTCTCAGATATGTAATCTATTATTTAATTTTCAGATCAAGCCCGTTATTCACAAAACATTTGGTTTTGGTAAATTACAAGACGCCTTCAAGACTGTGAGTGAGGGACACTTGAGAGGAAAAGTTGTGATAGATTTTAGTATTGACAATGACTGTAATGAATAGAATATTTTCTCTTTGAGATGTTTTATTATATAACTTTTATTTCATTGTTTACAACATATTATTTGCATATTTACAACATATTAGTGAGGTCAAGAGGTTCAGATCCCTCTTGACCTCACTAATATGGCGTCCAAGTACTTTTTTGTATTTAAAAAACGTCAGTTTTTGTGTAAGAATTGAAAGTTTTTATAGACCTCTTCTGGATCTTTTCACCTTCCAGAATATGAAAAAATAAAAATTTGTAATTCAACTTTGCCAAGAAACATTGGTTATTTATAACGGAACAATTGTTTTGAGGACAAGCCTAGGCTACAAAGACTACAAAAGACTCAATTCATGATTATCAAAAATAAACGACGCTTCCTAAGTTGTTCTGTTGTAAGCTTCGAGATAGGCTGCCGAACGAGATTCGGCCCCAGTCTTTCACTGCAGCTTCCATTTCAGGTAACGAGTTAATACCAGTATCCAAAAATGAATTATTCCTGATCTAACACTAGATAGCGCTGTTTAGACTCTCATCAGTGGTGCTAGGATGAATCAAGAATGCATTGTTGGTCTCATTAGCCCTAAAAATACAAGGTAGGGTAGGTTAGGTTAGGCCTTATTCGACCCTCTCAGATGGTGAGAGTACGGCTCTGCCGAACTCTAAAAACCTGATTTGGTCCCCAGCGGGGCAGGTACAAAGTATATGCTCTGCTGTTTCATCGTTAATGAGGTAGTCGGGTAGTCAAGGTGCAAGATTCCCACCTTGATATCCGTGACAACCTTCCCATATGAGGGTTTTTGCAAGTCAGCTACACCTGACGATGCCCTAGATTCAACCATACAGGGCTTTTTCGCCTCTGGTTTTGGTGAATCATCACTTGAGCGCAAACGTTTGCTAACCTGCTCATGGGGGGTTTGTTTCTCCACCTGAGACAGATTCTGCGTACCCCACTCAAGAATTTGGTGCAAGGCGGTTTTATAAGGTTCCTCGCTCTTGAGGAGACGACTCAGTCGTTTCCTGGCTGCACCACCAAATCTTTTTTTAGGTTCAGTTATTGGATCAGGAGTTGGAGAGTTGAGAAGCTCTCGCTCCTGATCTAAATTTACAGGAAGTCAGTTGGAGTCGTAAGCTCGACATCCATCTCCTCTGTAGACTCAGCGTCAGAAAGAATTTTTAAGTTTACTCTGTCCATAGAAGTCCCACGAGTAGTTAGGAAAAGAAGGTCAGCCATGGCAGAGCCCCGCTACGACGAGAGGGCGCCCGGTATCTCGAAGGTTCTGTAGAGACAGCTGATAGGCTCAGTGTCATTCATCCTCTCGGCACGGATACACACACCTTAGGATTAAGCCATCGTTGGGATGCCATTCAGTTAGGGAATAACAGAACCACAAGTGATTTTGTCATTCCCGTATCCAGCGGGGCTACGTGAAAGCAGGCATCCGATGGCCGGTTTGCTCAACCCCCACATTCCAAGCCAATACATCCGCCAAAAACAGCATGTACAGACTGCTGAACGAGATATGTCCTCTGTCACTGCAACTCTCACTGAATTTCTGTCCTGCATCCAGTCGGCAATTTTTTTTAGCTGCTAATATGTGTATTTCAAATAGTTTTATAGCCATTGCTAACGCTCAAGGTTGAACACGGAAATAAGAATCTGAACTGAATTTTCATAAAACATCCTGTATGTGTATTATAACGGATATTTTCATGTAGACTATCGCATGTGACATCTGGAATGAAATTCATAATTATGTTAAATTTCTTTTATTACAAACTGTCTACTATCCTGTCTATTAATTCACTTTTTTTCCAGTTACTTTTAAATTACGGCATGCAAGCCAACGTTTTAATGTTACAATATTGTTATCCTTTTCAGCTGAAAATTCTAGTTTTGCTCCAGGAATATTTTCTTGTGTTAAAAACATTCTTTTTTAATTGAACTTTACCATTTGTTTATATGAGGATTAGGCAATGTTTGTCCCTACTGAACTACTAGCGATGCTAGTGAGTGGTTTTTCGTACTTCAGGAAAAAGGTTCATTGAGGTGTTGTTTTAAAGATAATTTTGGGTTTTAAAAACGGAAAAGGATTATTTTCCGAAACGTTAAGCATCTAACAAAAGCTAAGTATGGAAATTTCCTTTTTTTTCAGTTGCTTGTTTAATTTATAGGCAAAATTTTTGAATATGACAGGTTATCAGTTGGACTCTTCAGGAGGTGAATTTTTCAGTTTTGCCTTCATTGCACTTCAGCATATTCTCTATTGAATTAGTTTTTTCATTTAAGTAAGAGACTTGGTGGTTCCGAAAATAGGACCAAACAAGATTACCTGGGTTGAAAGTAGTGTTTAAGCTGTTCCTGACAAACCTTTTCTTCATTTTATATTTGAAAATTTGTCAAATTGGTGAAATTTATCTAGTCATTGCGGAAGTTTACCAGAACTTTAACGAATTCTCTGCCGCATTATGTGGTATTATGAACAGAGGTAAGCGCTTCGATAATATAAAAGTGATGCCCCAGTTGAGCATATATTGTGATGCCTATAGAGTCATTCTGTGGTTTTACGATCCTCATCTGAAGTTAGAACTACCCCATCATCATGCTTTCTGTTTAAGCATTGGTATTGACTTTTATTTAGATAAACCCACTTGGTTTTTTCATTTAGTTATTCTACTGTTTTCAGTTGTAATTTCGAATAATTGAAAAAGTTATTATATTTTAATAAACGTATAACTTATTTATCAAGAAACTACATATAGACGTAACATTGCCGACTGCAGCTGGAGTGACCATGGACCATCGAGAGGAAATGAACGAACCTCAAAAAAAAACAAGTCTCCAACACCACCCGCATATCGCCCGAATGTGCATTCTATGTAGTTTCATCTTCTGTGTCTGTTGTCTTTGCTCAAAGCCCCAGGATTTCTACCTTGTCCCTTAATTAACCAAAGTTTGGCGCATATGCAGATAGTTTTAATGACAATCGAATATTTTTTATTATTAGTCGACACACTAAAGAAATAATTCTGATAATCAACAATTGAGACATGTTTTGTATTAATTTGGTGCTGAAAGTAATTCGAAAATGATCTTATTAACTGACATCCCAAAAAGTCCGAGGAACATTACCGACCACATATTTTCACTAAAAACGACCCTCTTAAAACTCTGCAAACCTGTGGGTGCAGTAAACCGAAAGAAAGGAATCCTAAAATTATGGAAGTGATTTGGGGAACAAACAAACCTGGTGTATGATTAGCATCGAATCAAAACCGGTGATACATAACCGATTTGAGGGCTGCAAGAAGGCTTCCATTTGCCAAAAAGAAGTAACCGTCATAAGAAGTAAGGTGTCATAAAAGTCAAGTCAGTCCCAATGTTTCTATGATGAAGGATGAATCAATCCGCTTGCCTTGTCAAGGATTGACAACATGCTTGCTGAATGAAAGTAGTTTCGTACCTGGAACTGAATACTGAGAAATATTTGATGTTCAAGAAACAGGTGATTTTTTTCGCTATGTAATATCTGAGAAGGGAATGATACAGCAAAGAACTAGGTTGTGAACTATTGTCTTTAAGTTATGGGTAAAGCCGAAAGCATTCATTGAGTTGTCTGAAGTAGCTTGATCTCAGTGCTCTTCAGTGGAATATTCAAATAGTCAAACCATCAGGTTATAAAGTGGCTAGAGAGACTTCAGTAGTAGTGTTTCAGATGGTACACCATAGTGATCGGAGATATGCTATTCATGAGACTATGTTCCAAACACCAATTCAGATACTGCTGAAGGCTAGAAGAAGTGAAGAAGATGTAAAGAGAAGTCTAAAAAGTGGCACAACCGTAAGATTAGATTAGGAGAGAGCTGATTTATGTCATATGAATCAGTCGATAAAAAATACAGGAGAAGGAACATGAAGTTGATTCGAAGTTAACTCACCAACGGAGTTCAATCTGATTAGCACCAAGTATGTATTGGGATCACCTATGCATACGCGATGGCCAATTGTATCGCAATTAGGAAACCCCACAAGTATTGCACCATTTTATGTTATGAAGAGTATAAACTGAATATGTATTGGGACAAGTCTCCAGTAGCTAAGCAGAAGAACACTTTGATATCAAAAGGACCCTGATTTGACTTCGGGAGTGATATTACTGGGTCAACTGGCGCCGCGACGTGGAACAGGAAAAATAGGACAGTAGGTATCATTCGAGAACCCCCTTTCGATAAATTCGTACTAGAAGTATTTGGAACTTTTCCCGTGACACGCAACGAACCATTTTTTCGAATGACTTTAAATTGTCACCAATCCAAATCAAAAGGCCTATAAGGTATCAAAGGCGTTCCTCTATAGCGTGGTTGCTGATATGTAGTACTTTCAGAACTGCATTCCGATTAAGGTCAAAATTTTGAGTAGGGACTGGCATTTATAAATGCAAGCATCAGAAGTCCAGAGGACAATACGAACCCAGTTCACTCACAGTCAGATGAAATGGTGTGAGTCATAACAAAATAATCAGCACTCTTTAGTTAGCCTGAAAAATTTTCGAAGGGTTTCCTCAATTTCTTTTTTATACAAAATTTTTCAGAAGTTTATGTAACAAAATGAGAGACATCAATGAAAGAAAAATATACAAACATTTTATTTCATCAAGGACTCTTTTCAAAATTGTATAGTTATAGCAGAAAAGGTTCTAGTCAGCGGCGGCTCGTCAGAGGAGGCAAGGAGGGCTTAGCCTCCCCATAAAATTTGAGGCTATTCATCGCAATAAATTGAAAGATATTGACAAATAATTATGATTCTTTTTTTCTAAAAATGCTTGGGTGATCTTACTTTACCATTAATTTTTAATATAAATACATAATATGCCCGAAAAACCACTATCACTCACTACGTAGTACGTATCACACTGTATCCTGCATCAACAAACCTCAAACGCACCGCCCATGAACAAATAACGAATAAACCATCAACTCGAAATAATAAACTCTATACGTTGCAAGGGAGCTAAGCCTCCGACCGTTTAAAAAAACACAAGCTCCGCGAGATCGATTCAA